AATTAGAGGATCATCAGGACGTGTAATTTGCACTTCAAGCCGAGGACCTTTTACAACATGCTAAAAAAAACAATAAACACTTTGACAGAGCTGGCGGTAGTGTACCTTGTATAGCAAATTGAGGTTACCCGAATATAAGGAATAATCTACATCTGCTGCTTATTAAAGCGTAAAGACGGTACTGCTCTGGATCCCGTACTGTGCAAGCATCTTGTAAACTGTCTCTTGGAGTATTCCAAGATTATCGACAATGCTGACAAGTCACAAACCGAATTGCACAAGTAAATTGACTACTGTTTATTTGATTTGTAAGAGCCATTGCTTTTGTTTTCCGTCTATTCATTTGATTTGACATAAAAGGTCTGGAGATTGGTGTGTGCGAATGATACGTCTCCTGCTCTTTAGCCATTATCGACGAGATAGGGCATCGCACAATCTCGCTGATTATTGTGGGGTGGGGACTACTAGTTTGGATCAAGCCATTATCAACGAATCAGTGAATAGCATCACGCAGTTTCTCGACATGATGGAGCAGAATTCACGCGTTCTTTCGGTAATTATTGTTCTCGGCTCGTACGTGAAAAACGCATACTGTTTGCAAGTGGTGACTCTGATTTTATTACAACGTTCGAAACACAGCCAGAATGCCTAAAAAAGGTTTCAGAGAAATGTATTCCAATGTTGGGCGATGCGCGTTTCCTGAATTTGATTGGTCGAGTAATACGGGCGGCAACATGCAGTGTTTTTGAAGATAAGATGGCGTTATCGGAAACCTTTATAGAGGAATTAATATATTATAAACACGAGTCGTTTGAATCATTAGACGATGAAGCAAAATTCGGGTGGGTTTTTTCTAGAATTCCCGTTGGTCGTTTGCGTGACTTGTATTTATATACGAAACCAAATAAATACATTACAGAGTATGGGCATGCTTTCCTGCCGCTGCTGAATTTGAGGTAGAGTTGATTTGTGTATCTTTGTTTTTTGGCCACATACTTACATGTCTTTGTTTCTCTGAACTAGATTATGAACCTTTTTCAAGGTTTCCTGTCCACCAGTGACCAGGCCTATGTCTCACCTTGGCAGATAAGAAAGAGTCTACGTGCTAGTCCTTTTATTCGAGGCATATTTGCACGTCCGCGTCTTTTACACATATCTATCGAAATTTTGGTCAACATTCTAAATGAAATGGAAGATTGGCGCGTAGTTAGATTAGCGGGATATTTAGTAGAGTGCATTTTTGACCGTTCCATTGCCACAGGAGGATCACTGGTATCAGAGGTAAAGTAAGTGGCGTATACAATCGTGTTAACACCAAGGACTTGTAATTTAACGTACTCGTACAGTCATCAACAGATTCGTTGGATATATTGATTGGTTATATATCAAGAGAAGAACCCAACGTGCGAACTATATCGAAAGTAAACGCCATTAGAAACAATATATCTTTGGAATGCCGACCTGCAGAGATTTATAAACGGAAGCAATGTGTTTGGTTACTCTTAATGTCTCTGAACAAATGGCGTTATTGGATCATTCGAACCATTTTCGACAGAAATAGTTTTCCTCGCGTGGTCGATGTTAGTTATAAAGATTATGAGCTATTACATGGTTTCTGGCTCTATAATATGCATATCTGAAATTATTTAACGCATTACACGTTATTTGTAGCTTGAGCCGCTTATTTCATATATCATATGGCTTTCATACCCTCAACGCGAATCGGCATGCCTGGATACTATGAATGTAATCGGAGATATTATCTCTTATCTTCGAGGTACGTATAAAACGACTTTTGTATTGCCAGTAATTTGTGATTATCATCCAGTAACGTTTTTCAATTTTGTAGAGTGGCTGTGTATTGGGGGAAATGACTACGGGCCAATTATCTCCTATCTGAATCGGTATAAACATATATTCAGGAACAATAATTTACTAGCGGATCTTTCGCTTGGCCTATGGTCTGCTGTTGGGTCATCGCAATTACTAGAGGCATTGGTGAGCTATGTCAAGGTTTTTTGAAATATTGTAGTATAATTTATTTAGATCAAGAGCTCAGGGAGAGCGGCTTTCGTTTCTTTGATAACATGAATATTTAATTTGTTTCTGCCAGATCAAGCCATGCATTGCTGCAAGCGACAGAGTGAGCACGCAAACCGGAGGGTCCAGGTTAGCAATATTAACGCGACATTGTATTTATGAAAACTGGTGCTGATCTTTTTACAATGAATTAGCCATGTCAATCTCACAGCTCTTGCGATTATTTTGGATTATCTGCATGATAATCAATTTCTTGCCACTGACGATTGGTATCTGGGAGAATTTACCAAGAATCTAGAAGAAGGTTATCGACTGTTTTTATCGCAACCTTGAAAAAAAGAAGCATAGTACGTACTCTCAAATCGTCCATGGACATTAAAATATTTATTGTGTAATCAATAATTCTATCCTTATATATACAACAACGAATCAACACTGAATAGTACAGTCAATAATCATCAATAGAAATGTCAATAGAATGTACTACCATTATCACTAATACAACACTATCATACCACTATGACTACTAGTACTAGTACTACTGATTCTGCTACTCGATCATTACAAGACGAAAGAAATAAACATAAAACAATAAAATTAATATCATGCAAAAATATCATCTACATCTACAACCATCTCTGCATCTACATTCTCCTTTACTGTCCCATCTTTATCGGCCTGCTTTTTGGATTGAGACGTCTCATCTTCCCCATTACCATTATCATTTTCTTCATTTTCTTGGTTAGCATTATCATCGTCCTCATCATCGTCATCCCACTTTGTCTTCACCTGGAGAACGCCGTGAGCACGTTCTCCACCATTGCCAGCATCCAAATCCATGCTATTCAATTCATCAGAATTTGATGAAGTGGCAGAAACATCGCCTTCCTTGGTATTCTTCATAAATGTATTTGTGAGCGATTCAATATATGGTTGTGGGAAGACGATCCAGTTCTCCCAGACAGTTAAAACAGTTATTATCTGCCGCTGTTGGATATGTATTAATGTTTGTTTGAGAAAGCAACATCATGTGATTCCAACGTGGAATTTCGTGAGCAGAATTGAGTAGTTTTAGTTTATAAGTATTAGAGATTGTCATTGATTAATGTTGTTATCGATATGATCGCTGTATGCTTCCTAAATGTACTGCGTTCTGGTTGAATGACACTCAAAGAGAGGACAGGTGATATAATAATACATAGGAAGGAATGTCTTTCGACGTCCATCCTTTTCTACTGTGTGTAGTATTTGTCACCCGTTTGCACTTACCCTGAATGTCTCTGCTTTCAATCGTCCTGATATCGATCTGTAAATTTCATTCAAATGTTCAAATATTTCCGGTAATCTCGTCTCAAATCTGTGTCAAGAAGAATGACCCCATTGAGTTATACGGCTTTCGTAATTATATGTTTGAGCTGTTCTAAATTGTAGCATTTTGCTCACCCGGCTCTAAACTTCCAAGCATTAGGTACGGGAACGCTACTATTGTGTAAAATGTCCGAAACTAAATACAACCGGGCAACCTTCGTTGGTATGGGCGTTTCACGAATCATCAACGTCTTACAAATTATATCCACAATCTATCACGGAACGAGTAACCAAAATTTGGTGAATAAAAGGCAGGAATAAAAAAAAAGGGGGGGGGGGAAACAACTTTTATCATAAATTTACCTCAGTGGCAGCATCTGAATGATCAATAGCAAACGCCATTGCTTGTGCAATAGAACCTCGTTGAAATATTAGTTTCCTAAGCATAGACTCGAGACGATTCTTGGCCTTGGGTCCAAGAGTGCCTTTGGGTATTCGCTCACGTTCTCGTTCGTCTTCCTCGTCAGAGTCTACATCGTCATCTCCCTATCATCTCACAGATAAGTAACGACCAACTGGCAAGTGAGACTATTTCTATATATAATATAATAATGCTGACCTCCTCCTCAAATGGAATTTCAGGCGGAACCCATATAGGTCCTTCATCGAACATGTGAAATGGTTCTGTTCGCCATTTATTCTTGGGATCTCCTTGTAATATTGAATATAACTTCCATCGATAGTAGATGTGCTCTAAGGACTACAGAAATATAAATTCAGATAATGAAAGACAGCAGTAATAACATGACGTAAATAATGCAAGTCACTAACGTCATTCTGAAATAAAAATCTGAATTTTGAATTATTCCATTCGCGATCCATTATAATTGCCTATTAAACAATGAATGCAAATATCATAATCAGTTTTGGCACTCAAACATATCGCAAAATATATCCTAGTTTCATACCTCGAACGGTGGGCCATATTTGACTACTCGCTCAACCATACGATGTATTATTTTTAGAATTAGAGGATCATCAGGACGTGTAATTTGCACTTCAAGCCGAGGACCTTTTACAACATGCTAAAAAAAACAATAAATGTCAAAAAAAAAACAAAATTACAGATGGTAAACAATCCCAACAATTCATATTTACCGAACTCGATCCGGGAGGAGGCACGGTATTAAAGCCTAATGACAGAAAGTAGACGTTAGACATCCATAATTAATGGTAACTAATTCCTATTAACCATACCTTGTTTGGTATGAACCATTTGCGCATTGAAGGGTAGCCCACTCGGTGGTGGACGACCTTCTTCGTTCAGAACTGCGAGCACGCCTGCTGTTAGAAATAATTTTTACCCCAAAAAACGCTCCTGCAACAAACATACATACCATAAACAGGTTTCGGAGGAATAGGTACGGCTTTGCCCCATCCGACGCGCATGACGTATCCAAGAAGTTCCTTTCCGTCCATATTCTTTAAGGCTTGAGCTGCAGACTCTCTGTCCATAAAACTAACGAAACCGCAATTGCGATTACGATCTTTCTCTTCCTGTGTTCGTGGCCACATAATCTTTACACTAGCTATTGGACCATATTTTGCAAATTCTTTGCACAACATTTCTTCGTTTAACTGTTGATGAGTAAGACCCGTTAACAAGTGTCTTACATCAAAAAGTTTGTAATTATGTTATGAAGATTACCTCAGGGCTAATATTTCCAACATACAAGTTCGTTGTGTGAGGATCTCCGGTATCATGAGATCCTGGGCGATACTCAAACGCTGTTGTCAAACAATCAAACAAACGAGTAAATTCTGATATTTGTAATATCGATACAAAGTTTAATTCAACAAGTCTTCATTACCTGCTTTGACAGTCAAAGATCCGGTAACATAATCATCACTGCCTCCTTCTTCTATAGTAATCAAGAATATCAAATCAATTTCAGTCGTGAAATTATGCACATTTCATTTCCACTTACCAGAATTCACACCGGCACCAGCTAATCGAGTATGCTTTTGTCTAAGTCTATCCTCTCTCTCCTCTTGCTCCCTAAATATGGAAAAGAACAATTTATATTAGAATACATATCATTAACATACATTTTCTAGAGAACGAGATATCAGACCTTTTTATTTCCTCCAAAAAGGCATCTAAATTACGTTTCTTGCTAGCTCTCTCTTCTTTCGTTTCTTCCTCCTTAATAATTATGAGGGTTTTAGCCAAGTTCTGTGATAACATTTTTGATAATTGAGATAATTTTAATAAAAACCTTGCCAACGCTGTCATCTTCATTCAATTTCCCCTTGGACTCTTGCGGAGAGCTTTTAGGAGCAAATACGAGCGGCTGCGGTTTGTAAAGTTCTGGTTCCTTTGCAATACTCGATGTTTCCTTCTTACTGATAGCTTCATGGTCGAATAGTACTGTCCACGATCCAAATAACAGTGAGTTGTTAAGTTTACACATAACACATATCATAGAAATAAAGAAACTTACATTTTGGCACAATGGTTTCTCCTTTCACAAAAGTTTTGCCTGCACTATCGTCTTTCTCAAAAGAAGCTACAAATTCAGCGTATACTTTCGCAGCTTCCTCTGACTCTTGCTACAAGCGAGATCGTTCGTGCGAGTTGTAATCAGTGAGTATGTCGCAATGTAAGCTCAGCAAGACACAACTAGGGGTTGTGATTAGAATAATGCCTTCTTTTTTAGTTCTAATTCTTCTTTGTGTTTTTGAAAGGGCGTCTTCTTGTGCGTTCCGATGCTGAATGCTTGTAATTTGGTCTTGGTAAGGCTCTATCCAAACAGACTGTAGTTAGGATCTGACGAGAAAGGCATGCATATATAAACAATTGACAATTGCTTTACCTTTGCGGAGCCAGGTTTTGGTGCATTTATGCCCCAAGGAAGCTTTTTGTCGTCGGGCATGGTTGTTATTATTATGTGTGTGTGTGTGTGTAGTTAGAGAGAACGGGCCAACTAATTCACCATCAGTTAAGATTAAATACTAATACGGAAATTTATCATGTGATATTCATTGTTGATAAATAAATCATAATCAATGTCATAATAATACACCATCATCGATCCAAGTTAAAGCATCATTACCTATTATTATTATTAATATCACAATTATCTTTATTTTCATACTTGGTGTTTTCATGGTTTACTTTTTCTCTCTCCGTCAATCCAATATTAATATTAATATTGTTTTTCCGAGGTAGAAACGCAAATTTCGATTCATTTATTATGCTTAACTTATGTCATTGACTAACCACCAATCAAACAGTATTTTTTGTATCACGTCTTAATCTGTCATCTTTCCGCAGAGCTACAAAAGCAGCAGACTGGTTTCGATAAAGAAGAGTAGGGAAGACTTCGCAAAAAAAGAGCTGCGCATACAGGTAATGTCTTTGTGACTCTGATAGTGGGGTAGTGTGTATATGGGAGAGTAGACATTTCTTTCTTGGAGAACAGTCGATTTATCTCCAAACAACCGATTTTCCTACAAATTTATTTCCTTATCCACAAAGCGTGCATGTAATCATTGTCTTGTTTTGACTATTTATATCTCAGCTAGGGAAAACGATAACGAAATCCTTCCAAGACTTGAAAAATTTTGTTCGACAATGTCACCCGACTTCCCTCTAGAAAGGAAACTTGTAGAGAAATGATAAACAAGTAGCGAGATTTGTGTAACGGAAGAATAAATCCGCCCGTTCATCAAATTCAAAAGAATATCAACTTTGAGGTCAGCTTGCATAGAACAATACTTTCAACCATAAATAATTTATAGAATCTATGGCATTTGAAGTCAGTGCGCATGGAATTACACCCACAAACGATTATTACTTGAAGGAGAACTCATAGAGTTGTCGCCATACGAGCGACGCTCGAATATACGTGTATTAGAGATCAAGTAAGAATTTTATATCATTAGGTCTAGCCTTAATTGAATTCTTTACAAAACGCATATTTTTCAGCGCGCATGGAACAATATTTTGCGTGCATGGAAGAATATTTTTCAGCACACAAGGAATTATTTTTTGCAAAGTGTGCGTTGAAGAATATCTTTCATCGCGCATGGAACTATTCTTTGCAAGCGTGGGGGGGGGGGGGAGAATAGTTTTAGTCAATGGGCTCCCACAAATAGTCCATAGAAAGTCTATGGTATTATAGAATTTCATCCCTTTGTCATAAACTCTTATAAATTATTAAATATTGGCATTCGTTTCAATGTATAAGTGTTCCAGCAGCATACCTTTTAGATGTGTTTTAGATAGTCATGAGCTAAACTCTGTTTAATTATGTCTGATCAATAAATTTGACTTGTCCAGGGCATTTTATGAGCATTGATGGAATTATGACGATTAAACAAAAATTAGAATAAAGCATATGACTAGTGATGAATTAACAGCAAATTTCTGCTGTACAGCCTGAGAGAGAACGTCTAGAATTGTTATTTTTTAATAATGAGTTGTGGGCACTAATATATAATATGGATGATCTTTTTTGATCAGACCCATTAACCCATGAGTTATATATAAATGGCAGAATTTGCACCAAAGAAATATGCAGTAACAGAGGAATAGGCAATCTGCGCAATGACAACATAAACAATGAAGAGGTGTCTCAACCTAATGTACAAAAAAACAAATTCTTGACCCAGTTCTCGTGGACGAAATTTTTTCCCTAGAAAATTTCAAGCTATCCTATTTATTCTCTTCCGAAGACGATGTTTTTCGATTTTTTTTCTTGATGAGCATTTTTCTCACTTCAACTAGATCAATTTTGGTTGGGCGAATCTTCTAATACACACAGTAACACTTGATAAGCTGAATATGAAGTCGTCAGGCTGGACCAAAATGTTCATATTGGGCATGCTGCAACAAAACCAGACAAAGTGAACATTCTATTATGTGACATAAATGAGAGGTTGATTATGATTATGACGTGGCTGTAAAATTGACCAGTGTGACTGATGACATTTGAAAAGTAATAATGTGCTCATGACTTATTAATTTTAATACTCCCCCCTTATCATACCAGAAGGTGAGGAATATAAACCATAACAGGAGTAATATAGGGTTACCTCTATATATAAGAATAAAGTATATGAAACTAATTTACATTAAATCGACCATGGAACCCAAGAATTACAGCACTATTAGAAACATTTTAAAGAAAGCTCAAGGAGAAAATGCTCCATATGTTTTAACTTACTTCTTTACTTTTAATCAAGGTCATCTCTTATTTTCTTTAACTTCAATTTGAGCAATGTGTTGGGTCTGCTGTTTTCTTAAGAACTCAACCTCACTTTCAAGTCTTTGAATTTTATTCAATAATTCTTGCTTTTGTTTATCATGTCAATCCTTTGAAACATCTAAGGCTTTCAAGTGAGAACTGATTTCTTCCT